TTAAGAAATCTTAATTAGAATTTTACTTAACTGTAAACAATTCTCCTCGATAAAGGTTGAGGAATCCGTAATTAAGTCAAAGAAAGTGATCATTTGCAACATTGTCAAACTTAGTTTCATCCACAGAAACCACGGACCTTTTTCGCAAAACTAAAATTCAACTCAATCCTTCACTTGTTTTTCTGTCACAATGTTTATTGACTATTACCTGCGAAATACATTTCAATTTGTCATCGAGATACATTTGATCAATTAGCCAAACCTAACACCTGTTGTATTCTGAATTGATCGTATTTGCAATCGTATTTCTATGGATCTATAATACACAGTCTGTTACACAGTTTTATTTCGCTCATTGACTTTCTACATAGGTAAACAGGGACATTTATTTTACATGCAAACAACATGTTATTCAGGAAAATATAATTACATGATAGGGGTTTGTGAACACACAAATAATTATTTATTCAAACACCTCTTCCTTTAAAAAACATATATATTAACACACACAAATTGTTTTTACAAACAATATTTGATTTTATACCACACGCAAGCTATTGTTGAATTTTAAAATATAGCCAAATGTATCCACAATCATATTTAATGACAAATATCGTTCTGTTCTATATAAATGTAACAAGTGAACTAACCATTTCAGTGGATCTCAACGTGGACAAAACTGTTGGAGATGTTCAATGAGTGAATGTTTATTTAATGAAGTAAAAACGTATTTTGACAGCCCGGGCCAAGTCAGACCCACCACAAGCCAAACACTTTTGATAGAGACTATGTTGAGAATGTAGAGGGGAAAGGGCTTCACTTTGAGCACCAAGTTTTCTTTAAAAACCGCGATCTGAGACACTATAAAGAGATATTTAGGTAGATATAATACTAATCTATAGGTGTGAATCCATTTCATGTTACATCTGTGAGGTTTAAGTTGATTTTGACAGCCCGAGCCAAGTCAACCGAACACTTGTGAGACTGTTGAGAGTATGGGGAGAAGAGGTCTACTTTAACCAACGTGTCTGCTTTATACACGATGAACAGTGACATTATTAAGTGGTATTTACATAGATATAGTACTATCCTATAAATATAAACGCTATGCCGACAGATGGAAATTGGTATCGCGATAGTTAGAAGTATTTGATACGTTTCAAATCTTATTTCGTTTAACGATTGCTCTTTTACATGTTACCTAGATCAGCGACGCTTACACACAGCTCCACTTTCTGGATTTCAAACGATTTACTCCGAAATACCTAATTATGTTTCACGTTTTTGGTTGGTGATTGTTCATTAATGTCATGTGTGTATGTTGCATCAATAATATGTAGGTATGATCGCCGATAATGAAGTAATTAGCCAATAACACTTTGGCCCGTCTTGGCCCGGCCCGGCCCGACTTTTAGGCAATGCCTTGATTGATGGAGTGAGTGAGTTGGGTTTAACGCCGCTTTTAACAGTATTCCAGTTATATCGCGACGTGTCAGCTTAATGTGGGAGGAAAGCTCGAAGTGATGCAGGTCTCAGACGTTTACCACTTCGGTGAAACCCACGAGCACGGGTATGGTGCTGACAAATCTAGAAACATAATCGGGGCGAACCGGGATTCGAACCCACAATCATAGGTTTCTGGCGTGTTCAAGGAACGCAACAGAGAATCGCGGCGCCTTAGACGACTGGGCCACCCGTGCCCCCTACGACTTGTGATGACAGGTACTTGCGTACTGTGCATCTCCGGAATCGATTCCTGACTGTGACATCATCAGACACAACTGCCTTAGGGCAACTGCCTTAGGCGACAGACAGTGGCCAGGCGACTCATGGCTCAAGGAATTAGGACTTGCAGACCTTGCAGTGAGTGAGTGAGTGAGTATGGTTTTACGCCGCTTTTAGCAATATTCCAGCAATATCACGGCGGGGGACACCAGAAATGGGCTTCACACATTGTGCCCATGTGGGGAATCGAACCCGGGTCTTCAGCACGACAAACGAACACTTTAACCACTAGGCTACCCCACCGCCCCAGACCTTACAGAGGACAGCACAATAACGTTGTCTCGGATTGAGATGGGCCGGGACTGTACGTCGTTGGCAGCGACGTGACTGGCAGAGGGTCCTCATCAGTGATGAAAGCCGGGTTTGTTCAGACCTGATGGAAGACAACGTGTTTACCGCCGAAAGGGAGAAGGAACGGCGGCAAGTTCAGGAGGTCGTACCATATGGAGGTGGCCTTATGGGGTGGGGAGGAATTTGTGAGCTGGAGAAAATCCACATCAGCACGACAACGCCAGATCCCACACAGCCCGAATCGTACAGAACTTCCTTGCAGCCAACAACGTCAACGTGTTGCCGTGGCCTGCACGCTCCCTAGATATGTCCTTCATAGAACACCTCTGGGATGTCATGAATCGTAGAGCGACCACATCCTCCAGCCAACTGACAAGAACTGATCCAGGCCCTCCATGAAGAATGGCGACGTATCCCACGTGACGTCATCACATGACTGACTTTTTCTGTATGCCGGAATGTTTTTGCGTATCTTGTAGCAGGGGGTGGTCTTACACGCTAGTGTCTTTGAACTTGAGCAATTTCAGATGTGTGTGCCCTTTGTCCATTTCGTTGAAAGCATGTTTTTGCTACCCAACCTCAATTTGGGCATCTGTCACGCCAATATTGGAAGCTATATAGCTTCAATTCTGAATGTTGATTTCGTTGAAATTTTGAATATTTCAATACATTTTATGTCATGCATCTATTTTTTTATCTGGTTTTTAAACTAGAGTGAATTTAAACTATGGTAAAGTTTCTTTATGCCGTCAGTTTGTGTTTGTAGACGAGCCTGGGAACCCATGATGGCAAATCATTTTACTGTGTTCCCTTATTAATTTCCACCAGTATATATTGAAATTAGGTGTGCAAATCAGATTCACAGGCACTTACATAACACACATACGACCAGGACGTACAATGAACTTTGTACAATCGTAACATAAAAATGTAAAAAACAACAAGCCAATGGTGACTAGGAATTGCCATATGGCAGTGTATTTTGTTGTTTAACAGTGGTTTTAACTGTTACATCGTTCTGTGGAGATTCGGTAGATGTTCAATGCATTGTATTTTGGGTACCATTTAATCTGGGCAGTCGTCAGGAAGTTACCATATTTAGACATTAGTGTGGTTTGTAAACTTCCGGTGTACTGGTATGGCATATTGTGTGGTGTTCTGGAAGCCAGTTAGACTGTATATAAAGGGACAAGAGCGTGCCTATGCTATCTCTCACACATTTCATTACATCAAGACCAGCTTTCGTGTTAGGATCACTCATCACCCCTGATTCCTTGCCTAGGCCTTTATCGGTAGTTTGACCACAGTCGCCGTTGGGTGAATATATTATTATCACAGACGTTTGCTATCACCACTGTGTTTTTATGTTTGATACTGACCCCTGCCATCATGTTATATACTGCCATTGAATATTGTACTACCACTCTATTGTGTACTACCACTCTATTGTGTACTACCACTCTATTATATACTACCATTGAATATTGTACTACCACTCTATTATATACTACCATTGAATATTGTACTACCACTCTATTATATACTACCATTGAATATTGTACTACCACTCTATTATATACTACCATTGAATATTGTACTACCACTCTATTGTGTACTACCATTGAATATTGTACTACCACTCTATTGTGTACTACCATTGAATATTGTACTACCACTCTATTGTGTACTGCCATTGAATATTGTACTACCACTCTATTGTGTACTACCATTGAATATTGTACTACCACTCTATTATATACTACCATTGAATATTGTACTACCACTCTATTATATACTACCATTGAATATTGTACTACCACTCTATTGTGTACTACCATTGAATATTGTACTACCACTCTATTATATACTACCATTGAATATTGTACTACCACTCTATTATATACTACCATTGAATATTGTACTACCACTCTATTATATACTACCATTGAATATTGTACTACCACTCTATTGTGTACTACCATTGAATATTGTACTACCACTCTATTGTGTACTACCATTGAATATTGTACTACCACTCTATTGTGTACTGCCATTGAATATTGTACTACCACTCTATTGTGTACTACCATTGAATATTGTACTACCACTCTATTATATACTACCATTGAATATTGTACTACCACTCTATTGTGTACTGCCATTGTAATTGCTGTGCAGTAATTTGTGTTAATTTGTAAATCTAGTTAATTTTACATTTGTTAATTGTATACCACTTGTTGGTTGTTTGTTGGTTTCAAACTAAGTTCTTTTACGTACAACTTTCCGGATTAACGTATTGTTTCAATTTGGAAATCGACCTGTAACAGAATTGACACTTGTGACGACACTTGTCTCCACAGCACAGGTGGTAACGTGACGGATTAGATATCAAAGAAGTTGATTACGACTTAACCTTTTTTTCAATTAGTGACAATAGGCCACCGAGTAAAAAAAGTACTAACTGATTAGTAAAGTCCACTAACATGTTAGTGTATGAGTGGACAGTGACATCAACTAACTAAGTTAGTAAACTTTACACACTATTTCTGTCAATGTATGGTGTGGGTTGGTGGAGTGATAAATATAGTTTGCCCTCTGGAAAATAGGTTGTTTCGCGTCTCTTTTCAGATAAAGAATTGTATGTCTGTAAGCGCTGACTTAAATTTGTTTATTATGTCTCAAATAAAGACATTAGGGCATTGAGACTAATATCAACAACAACAACATCGGAATGGGTATCAGTAAACAGGGTGTGTCAAAGTATTTAATGGTTGGTCACTGTTGGCAGGCATCTACTTAATTCAATTTCATCAGATACTTGTTTAAGGACAAGTAGTTCTAACTGAAATAATAAATGATAATCATTCTAGCATTGTAATGAGATCACAAAACCATTACCCAGTTCTTCTCATTTCAGATTTCGGCACCTTTTGAAAAGGTCTTGTCTTTTCAAAGTAGTATTCGTCTTGGCCACTCTTTGCCTGCTATATAGCTTGTCCCCCAAGCTTCTGTATCGAAGGGACGCAAGAAAATCGCTCCATGAATACTTGACCAAGACACTGTTGACTGATAATGGAGACACCCTCCACTGGAACAGACTGTTCATGCTTAGTGGAGACTCGTCAAACTTGAATTCTTCCAACCTCGACAAATTTAATGAAAAAACAAAAACCTACGATTACCAAAAAACAAGAGAACTAAGGACCTCCTCCTGGGGTCACACTGCTGTGAGAACGCTTCAACAAGTACATCGACATATGCCAAACATAGTCATTCCAAGAGGACAGAACAAAAGCCTTGAAGTGCTTTTAAGAAGAGGTGTTATTGAGCCAGCGACTGATCTAGTGACAACTGACACGAAGGTTATCCTCTGGTATTCTCCGACGAGATATCATCCAGTATTATCGAGATTACATCCCTTGCGTGGATGTCCAGAATCCCGATGTCGAGTCACGACAAACAGAGCCTTTTATGAGCAGAGTGAAGCCCTCGTGTTTACAGCACAGCTCTTAGACAAGGCGCCACCAGAGAAACTTGTAAACCAAGTGTGGGTATTACATAATCATGAATCTCCACGATGGTCGAAGAAGGAGATACATTTGTACAACGGACACTGGAGCTCAAGGTTCAACTGGACGATGGACTACAGAGCAGACTCCGATATCAGGGCCCCATACGCAATCTTCCGAACGAATAATGGAAAATTTCGTAAACGCGAACAACCACCAAGAAACTACACACAAATCTGGTCATCGAAGAAGGGAACGGTTGCATGGATGGTTAGCAACTGCAAAACCATTAGTAGAAGAATGGAATATGTTCTGGAACTGAGTAAATATATCCAGGTTGATATATACGGTCGTTGTGGTAATATAAAATGCCCCAGGTCTGATGACGAATCATGTCTAAAACATATTTCGAAGAAATATAAATTCTACCTAGCCTTTGAAAATGCGTTTTGTAAAGACTACATAACGGAGAAGTTTTTCCGTTATTTTAACTCAGATATGATCCTTGTGACCAGGGGTGGTGGTAACTACACTGCCGTTGCGCCCTCAGGAACCTTCATCAACACAGCTGACTTCGTTTCACCTCAGCGCCTTGCACAGCGGTTGGCCGAGCTGGCTGACAGTGAAAGAGACTATGTCAATATTCTACGCCTGAAAGACCTGTATCAGTCCGTTTGGGAGGAGCACCCTATCGTTAGAGATGGACATATTGTATATATGACCTATCACTACGAGGCGATGCCTATGTGTGAACTATGTGACAGATTGTGGCATGTTGACAAGTACAGGACATTCTACACGGATATTGAGAAGTGGTTTGATAAAGGGATTTGTTTTCAACCAAATGATTTATCTTCATAAATAACGTTGCCAAAAGAAGTAACGCTTGCTGTACGGTGTCATATACGGTGTCATTTACTGTATATGCAAATTGTGTGGGCGGAACATGCCTACCCTGCTGTAATCACTGAATTTCAGTGTGTAGATTATTTTATCTTTTAATGATGTAATTCATGTCCCTGTCATTTTTAATGTAAAATGTAAAATACGTCAGGTTGACTCGGGTTCTGCCATTTCCAGAATTTTCCACTATTATCTTCCGAAAAGATTATTGATTAGTTTTTTTTTGTTTTGTTTTTTTGGTTTAACGCCGCACTCAGCAATATTCCAGCTATATGACGGCGGTCTGTAAAATAATTGAGTCTGGACCAGACAATCCAGTGATTGACATCATTGAGCATCGATCCAAGCTATTGATGACATGCATCAACCAAGTCAGCGAGCCTGAACACCCGATCCCGTTAGTCGCCTTTTACGACAAGTATGGGTTACTGAAGATCTATTCTACCCCGGGATCTTCACGGGTCGATTATAGATTAAAAACAGGTAGCAAGATGTATTGTACATATCTTTAAGTTGCTTATTCTGTATTGTATGACATTGGACATATGCTCCTGTACCGCCGCTGGTGGTTTAATTTGTGAGAAATAAACTGAATTGGGTTTGCACCCAACTATGCGCGTGTTTGATAAATTACACAGCGTGATGTGTTCAGAGAGGACATATACATGTATTACATGTTATTTCCGCACCCGGATGTTCAAAATCACAATACAATGCTAGCATCATGGTTTGAGTATGATATCGCACTCAGCGCTGGCGATCGGAACATCGCCATAGGACGTATCCAAAGAGGGGAATCGCAGTCTTCTGTTGCACGCCTCTTCAACGTCCACCACAGCACCATTTGCCGCCTTTGGGACCGATACACACAGTTCAATTCCACTGCAGACCGTCCTAGAACCGTTACCACCCCTGCACAGGATCACTACATTCGACTGTTCCACCAACGTCATCGCAATGCCACAGCTACGGAGACTGCAGGACGCATTCCTGGTTTGAGGAGGATATCGGACCAGACCGTCAGGAACCATCTTCGCGAGGCTGGAGGCTTGCAACAGATCCATCGACAGCGACGCTTGCGTTGGTGCCATACCTTACAGCCTTGGAATTAGAGAACCTGAAGACGAGTGTGGTTTTGCGATAAATCACGAATACTTCTTCACCGGTAAGATGGGAAGACAACGTGTTTATCGTCGTCGAAATGTGCGTTTTGCCCCACATTGTGTACGTGAATTCGACAAATTAGGTGGTGGTAGTGTCATGGTGTTGGGGGCCATATCCTACATCACGAGATCTGACTTGGTTGTGGTTCAGGGAAATTTTACAGCAAATCGCTACATGAACCAAATTCTTCAACCTCACCTTCTTCCAATCACTGATCGCCGGAGGAAGCTGTTTCAACAGGACAATGCTTCACCGCACACAGCTCGTGTCACGGTAGACTGCCTTCATAAAGCCAACATCATCGACTTGCCCTCGCCGTCGAGACCTCCAGATCTCAACTCAATCGAACACTTCTGGGATGAACTCGATCGACGTGTACGTCAACGTCAGAACACGCCGCAGACACTCCCACAACTGGCCAACGCGTTACAAGCAGAATGGCGCAGGACAGAATTCGTACACTTGTCCGGTCAGTGAGTGAGTGAGTATGGTTTTACGCCGCTTTTAGCAATATTCCAGCAATATCACGACGGGGGACACCAGAAATGGGCTTCACACATTGTGCCCATGTCGGGAATCGAACCCGGGTCTTCGGCGTGACGAGCGAACGCTTTAACCACTAGGCTACCCGACCGCCCCTTATCCGGTCAGTGCCGAGGAGATACGAGATATTGAGTTCAGCACAACCTTGTGGCCTTATGTGACATGACAATAAACAGTTTCCAATGCCACTGTACAACGATAACATTAGACTATCGAGTTCCAAAATTTCATATTTGTATCTTTGATATTAAATTAAATATACTATCCAAAAAAAGAAACGCATAGGTGTTACTGATATGTCAAAACGAAAATAATACCTATTGTATTCATATTATCGTCAAAGTATGTATCAATATTGATAAGAGCATCAATTGACACACTTCCGTTTGCAACAAATCGATTTTGTTTGAAAATGTTGACTTTGATGTGATTTTTTGAGAATGAGTAAGAAATGCATCGCCCAACGCAACAAGTGGCATCTTGCACGTTAAAATTGGGCAGGAAAAGCATGCAGTGTTTGGCAATCCAAAGCAAGCTTGCTTTCGGAAATAGGCATTCGTTCAGAAGGTGTTTCCAAGCCAAATGAACATGCCACGTCTTGATGCTGCCACAAGGAACATCGCCATTGGAAGACTGCAGGCTGGAGAGTCCCAATCTTCTGTTGCCCGACGTCTGAATGTTAGCCAAAGCACAATATTACGGCTTGCAGCTCGCTACAACCAAACAGGCACAACAAATGACCGTCCCCGCACTGGAAGACCTAGAGTCACCACAACCGGCCAGGATCGCTACATCCGGGTCCTCCATTTTCGTGACCGTACTGCTACGGGTGAGAGCACTGCAGCCAGGGTGCCAGGACTTAGGAGGATATCAGGCCAGGCAGGGAGAACATGGATTGAGAGCCAGGAGACCCTACGTCGGGAACGTGCTACGTCGTCACCATCGTGCTCATCGTCTCCGTTGGTGTAACAACGTGACTGCCTGGAACCTTCGCAACTGGCGACGCATTTGGTTTAGCGATGAGTCCAGATTCCTGTTGCAGAGACGTGATGGTAGGAACCGGGCCTACAGTGGTGTTCATGAACGTTATACCCCTAACTGCGTGCGTCAAGTGGACAGATTTGATGGAGGGATCGTGATGATGTGGGCGGCTATATCCTACACTGATCGTACCGATCTTTCCAGGGAAACCTGACGGCTGTACGCTACAGAGACACCATCCTGCTACATGTACAACACCTCCTGATAGCCATTGACGTCCAACGTGATATTTTCCAGCAAGACAACGCCCGGCACCACACGGCACGTGTCACAATGACCTTTCTCGCTGCTAACAATGTCAACGTGCTCCCCTGGCCGTCCCGTTCCCCGGATCTTAACCCAATAGCGCACCTGTGGGATGAACTTGATCGCCGTCTCCGTCAGCGTCAACATCAACCACAAACTCTCCAGGCACTAGCTGCATTTCTGCAGGAGGAGTGGCGGAGGCATCCCCAGGCCGTTATCCAGCGTCTCATCCAGTCCATGACAAGGCGTGTGAGAACTGTTATTCGTGCACGTGGTGGGCACAACAGATATTGATACTCCATTCACGTTTGAGAAATATTGTGAATGCCTTACCTCAAGTTATGGACATCATTGTATAAACATTGATCTCTCCTAAACGGATGTAAAATTTCATTTACTCAAGTTCATTTCCCACCAAGTTATTCATGTTTGAATATACAACATTTTCCCAGCAAATACGGGTTCTTTTTTTTTAATAGTATATATCGTCTTTATTGGGTACAATAAATTTACTAAAAGTCTCCCAGTGCGTTTCCTTTTTTGAAGAGTGTAGATATAACGTTCTTGTGAGATGAGAATAAGGGAATTATCATAAGAAGGCTGTTGTTGTTTTTCTGAACTGTTCCCATTTTACATACCACAAGTGGCAATGCATTTTAAAGTTGCTTTCGTGTCACAATATTAACTCAAGTTTTTCTCAATCGGCCTCAAACATAATTCCCGTTGGTCAGTTCGACATCTCAGATAATAAAATAATTATTTCGAGATTTCGTTAGAATGTGAGATATTCAGCCAGACGTTACGCAATGAAAGACGAATCGGTCTCTATCATTAAATTACGCGCACGTGTACCTGTATATCGCACAGGTATTAGTATTCATATTGTTAATAATTTGTATTTTTAATTTTTTTAAATTTTCTTGCCTCTGTTGTACAATACATTTTCAGTCGTTGTCTGTTGACTTTGCAAACGATATTAAGCTGAATTCAACTTGATTTTAATATAGCTGATAATAAGCGAAATTCCACCATGATGCCTATTTACATGCAATAAATAACCGACAATTAAACCGACAGCTCAGCACAAATCGATTTTAACACTTTCGAGTAATTATCATATAGAAGTCACCGCCAGTGCAATCATTTCCGCCTGCTAAACCGCTGTGTGCGTTTGACCATAATGTGAACCAAGCACCGCGCCAGGAAAAGCACCAGACGTCTCAATCGCTTACCTGTCAATATCATTGCAAGGAGAGTACTTACTGGTCCATAAGACTAGTCCATTTATATGGCGCTGTACTCCATGCATAAGCATGCTCTAAGCGCTTAGACATTTATTACCCCGTTCAGTGGATAAATGTGCACTCAACAATCATTCTCAGCTCCCTGGGGAGTATACAACCCAAGCTGCCTGTTACCGAAGCACAGCGTGAAGTACTAATTAAACATTTCAGTAATGTTACACGCCACTATATCAGTTTTATTTGAAACTTGCTTATAATTTTAATCGACTTAAAAAAACTGCATTTTGCCAATACAGAACAATAATATAACAATATATAGCAATTATCCCACTTTACCAACACAGACAAGGAAACACAATGATCAACTTGAAACACTGCATTTTGTACATACATAATAATTATATACGAATATATAGCAGTTATATCCCTTTACCAATGTACACAAAGAAAAACAATTGTGGATATATCATATATACAAAATTGTATATTTTTGGATATATCATCTATCTAAAATTTGGATATATCATTTATCCAAAGCATATAAAAGCTTGTATATATTTTTGCAGTGCTTTTGACACAAATCTGATTGACAAAATTGAGGAAAAACATGGCAAATATGCGGAGCTCGCTTACGGAATATATCGCTGTTGACTGACATCGGGAGAGTACCGGGGTTTGCTGCCTGGAATAGAGCCTTCTGACAATATGGGCAATGAAAAGCGCCACATTATTACCCCGATCAATAGGCCAGTGTGTACTCGAATTTCATTCTCAGCTCCCTGGGAAGTATACAGTCCAACGTGCCTTATGAGGCACCAAAAGGTTAACAGTTACAATACTATTCCACCCTACCAGGCATCCATTCACTACTGGGTCGACAGAGACATTCCGAACAAAATCTCTTGTCCAAGGAGACACCACCACAATTGGTTTTTATTCACAGTAAAACCCCCCATCAGGTTTTTCTTCCAAGTGAACCCCCATATCAGTGGGGGGTTTTCAAAGTGAAACCCCATGTCAGAGTTTTCTTCCAAGTGAACCCCCATATCAGTGGGGTTTTTTCAAAGTGAAACCCCATTGCAGAGTTTTATTTGAAGTGAAACCCCATGTCAGAGTTTTCTTTAAAGTAAAACTCCATATCACAGGTTTACTTTAAAGCAAAACCCTACATCAGGTGTTTATTCAAAGTAAAACCCCATATCAGGTGTTCATTCAAAGTAAAACTTCATTTGTTGTTTCTCTTATTATAGCAATAACTTTCTGTTCAAAGGCAACAGCCCACTGCGAAATTTTAATAATCGACCCCTACATATATGGCATTTTGATTTTGTTACATGCTAGGTGCCCTTACTGTATTGTCTACGGTATGACATACTGACACGCCAATAACCACAATGAGGACGAACCCTCGATCACAGAATAGAGGTATTCGTCCATAGCAATATTCCAGCAATATCACGGCGAAGGACACCAGAAATGGGCTTCACACATTGTACCCATGTCGGGAATCGAACCCGGGGTTTCGGCGTGACGAGCGAACGCTTTAACTACCAGCCTACCCGACCGCCCTGGTAATTGAAACGACACATATCTGTTATGTACAAATTGGGACTAATCATTGATTAGACGACAACATGGTGATACATTTTTTTCAGTTTACTTGAAAATTAGAGCAGGGAGTTGGCCTCCATGTTTTGAGGTTCCCGTCGTGCTCTTCTTGGAATCTGAGAAGGTGAAGGTCACATCAGCAGCAGTAACTGACGTCTTTCCCCCGGACCCCCAGAAACTGTAAGCCCCATTCATGTCTAAGCAGATGGTATAGACAGACTCTGGCTGCAGGGGCACGGATGCAGGAAAGAAAATGTCCGTGACCTGCCCACGACCTTGAAACTTCCGCTTCGCCTTCTGTAATGGTTCGGCCACCACCTTGTTCTTCTGGTCAAACAGCCTGATACTGAGAGTGTACACTTTATCATCATACGGGCCATAGAGCTGACATCCAAGTAGATCTATGTCCTGACTGACAGAGAAGGAGATAGCATGAGTCCCAGACGCTGTCTGGATGTAGTCATCGTAGTGCACCAGTCTCCGCACGTATCTATACCTGGTATCCTCCTCGACTGACTTCCTCTGCTCTAGTTTGAACGGAGAGATGTCTGTGTTTGAGGTGACATTTTTTTCAACCATACGAATTCTCTCAGTGTCTGTTAGAACACCAGAAGGACCTACAACATTCAGAAGGTACTCCAGGGACAGGCTGGTAAACCGAATTTCATACCGCATTTCTCCCAGGAGTCTCCGTCTGTTCTCAGGAGTGTCAACCACACCTTCCTTCTTGCATCTTGCCTTAGTCCATGACAGAGCTGCCTCGAAGATATCTCCTTCCTTCAACTTGAGGGTTTCTGACTTTAGGAACTTCTCCAGGCAATGAGAGCAAATATCCACAAATCCTGGAGATCTGATGACTCTCTTCCCTCCTTCTGTCAGGATCTTGAGGGCCTTCAGTTCCAGGTCCAGCTCCCCGTTACCATGACACCGCTCCAGGATATCACAGGCATTGTCCTCAGACAGGGATGTCTCCAGGAATGTTTGACACAGGTTGAACAATTCATCCGAGTAATATTTCCGAGACGTGTACATTAATCCAATGACAGTTTTACTGGTGATATGAGCCACGTCTGTGTACAGGTATCTATAAAAAAGACGAACACATTAGCTTCGTCACGAAGAAACCTCACTATTGCAGTCAAAAATATCATGTTATGTACATTATCCCTCATCAAACCTCAAACTTTCATAGGGGCCGCCTCCGTGGTCTAGTGGTAGAGCGTCCGCCCGGAGAGCGGAAGGTCCGGGGTTCGATCCCCGACCGCGTCATACCAAAAGACGTTAAAAGAGGGTACTTGTTGTTACCCTGTCTGGCGCTCGGCATTAAGGGGCTAAAACAAGGACTGGTCGGCTCGGAGTCAGTATACTGTGTCTGAGTGGGGTATTCATGTTAAACTGCGGCATGGTATCTCAGTGAGCTAGCACTATAAATCGGCATCAGTCCGGACTAGTACAAGCAGCCACACAAACACATACACGTACATGCACGTCGCTATATAAGTGCAATAATCTTGGACGCGACGTTAAACCCCATTTCACCTCACCTCACCTCAAACTTTCATAGAAATATAGAATACAATGTAAGATTTAGAACTAGATGTCATTTTCGAGTTTCAAGAAATAGCTTATTGGGTGTCTTCAAGCCTTAATTTTTTTGAAGATATTTAATTTACAAACTGGATTAGGGAGACGTAAAAAAGAATGTATTTGAGCAGTTCATACTTTAAAGTAAGGTTCTTACCTCAGAAACTCTCTGAAAACATTCGGCTCGATATCAGGGATAGTTATCTCCCCTTTCTCTGCCGCCAGATGGCCACAGAACATGGCATGAAACACGCAGCATCGGCTGACTAGAATGTAGCGGTGAGCTCCGACCACCTGTTTGTCTGACCCCACACGAAAAGTGACGTCACTAAAATCGCCAGTGTTGAGCATGCGCAGATTGCACTCTGTGATGGTCTTGCCTGACTGCCAGTTGTCCACCAGCAACGACTTTCGTCCCTCGCTCGACATTTTCTAAGCTGGAAGTAAACGATGTAAACTGAGCAAGTAAACAACAGCTACATTTTCGGATAGAAGTACAACAAAAAATAAATACATAAAAATGACAAACTCTTTCCAAAATCACCTCTTGTACCTTCACATGTATTGTACGATTCCGACTACAGTAAAGTACGGTTATAACGAACTCAAAGGGACTACTAGTTTTAGTTCGTTATAACCGTAGTTCGTTATAAGCATATATACAGTATAACAACAGCAAATAGTCGGGACCCAAAAGTAAGTTCGTTATATCCGTCAGTTCGTTATAAGCGTGTTCGTTATAACCGTAGTTTACTGTATATCATGAGCATTTCTTTTTAAATTTTATCAGATAATTATGATACCAGATATTCGCGAAAGGTGAGCATATCCTGCCACACCTGTGACACTTTCACAAACACATGCAAAGGCAAGCAAACACATGCAAAGGCAAGTCAATTATTCACCTGAAAAAGGTATGGAGCGGTATGGAGCGTAATAATTACCAAATTGCATAATGTGTCCAATATTTCAAGTTTGTAAAGGTGATTTGGCCATGTTAAGTCGATATGGACCGACCTAACGCCAATTCAGTTAAGAAATACTACAACTCGCTTGTCGGTACCCGATACCCGATATCCGAAAACAACCCATTCATGTCAACACCAGCCGCCCGTCCATCCACTAGCAGAAAGGAAGAGCGTAACGGTGTAGCCATAAACGACTGACAATCCTTTACACAGGCGTAAAATCTTCAGTTACAGACAATATGTAACAGCTCCGTATCTCCACCAACGCCCACAGATGGTTCAAAACAGCTGGCGAGCGCTCTACCGCCTAGAACGAATCACCAAAGAGTTACTTCCCTTAGTTCAACACGCCAACAAACTTCTTTTGGCATTTGCAGCTGTTTATGGAGTGACGCTTGTTTCTGTGTACCACATGGAACGCAGTGCATATGTGCGACACATGATTTGTTTGTTTGTTTGTTGTTTAACGCCGCACTCAGCAATATACCAGCTGTATAACGGCGGCCCGTAAATATTTGAGTCTGGACCAGACAATCCATAGCCGAGAGTTGCGATGGGGTCCTACCGTCAAGTGTAAGACCTTCCCATGTTGGTTCAATGGCTTGCTCAAAGATAGATCTTCCCATGTTGGTTCAATGGCTTGCTCAAAGATAGATCTTCCCATGTTGGTTCAATGGCTTGCTCAAAGATAGATCTTCCCATGTTGGTTCAATGGCTTGCTCAAAGATAGATCTTCCCATGTTGGTTCAATGGCTTCCTCAAAGATACATCTTCCCATGTTGGTTCAATGGCTTTCTTAAAGATAGATCTTCCCATGTTGGTTCAATGGCTTCCTCAAAGATACATCTTCCCATGTTGGTTCAATGGCTTTCTTAAAGATAGATCTTCCCATGTTGGTTCAATGGCTTGCTCAAAGATAGATCTTCCCATGTTGGTTCAATGGCTTGCTCAAAGATAGATCTTCCCATGTTGGTTCAATGGCTTGCTCAAAGATAGATCTTCCCATGTTGGTTCAATGGCTTGCTCAAAGATAGATCTTCCCATGTTGGTTCAAAACCAAATCCACGCATTTTAGTCATACATGTACTCAATTATGTGTAAGAAAGAAAACTAGGCTGGCTTTCAGTCATTTGAATATGAGTGATAATTTTCATGCCTTTTTTTTATATCTAGACTAGAATTTCTTTCAGCTACAGCTGAAAAACCCAAAAATGTTTATATTTTAAACTATGAGCCTGAATTTTTTTTAAAAAGTGAACACTTTGCAACAATGTCAATTTTGTGGCAGGCAATTTCGTTTTGTACAACAATCTGAAGCATAATTATCTCTTTCAAGAATTTTCGGGTACAATTTATTTATTTCGACATTCGATATTCGATAAAATCCTAGCTACTTTGTGTCGTGAATATGTGTCAGTGCTCTCAGTCATCGGGCTTCCTGTCCAGACACAAATATATACATGCAGTGGTATTATATATAGATTATCCGTGACTCACGCACAGCTGTTTGTGGTAAGATAATTACTTACGGAAGTAAAGTCATCCTGTTTCGGGGAAAACATATCCTGTCATTCACACAATGCTTTTGGTTCCGTGTAATTGTATTGATGCTAACGGCACAAGCGTTTCATCTCATACACCAAGCTACCAAACATCAACACCCGAGGTGACTCCACCCAGCCTCAGGACCGTGTGGGACGGTTGGGTAGCCTAGTGGTTAAGTAGTTTCGCTCGTCACGCCGAAGGCCCGGGTTCGATTCCCACATGGATACAATGTGTGAAGCCCATTTCTGGAGTCCCCTGCCGCGAAATTCTGAAATATTGCTAAAAACGGCGAAAACCCGTACTCACTCGCACACTCAGAAATGTGTTGCCTTGTTTCTTAACGTGTGGCCAAATTGTCTAAGCCAATTCGATTTGCAGAGTTGCGTCCCTTAGGCGTGAGTTTCACTTTATTGGTAAACGTCTAATACCCTCACCACCTCGTGTTTTCCTCCCACGTGAAGCTGACACGCTGTGATACAACTAAACACTGTTTAAAGCGCGTTAAACCCAAGCTCTTTCACTCAAATAGGCTGAAGCATCATAACCTCGAAATCGATCATCTATATATCGTTAAGGACGATATAACAGCATGATCCCGGCAGAAACCTGCCGTCTAATATCCGTACTCCCTTGTCTCGAACTAAGACAACTCGACATATATTCGACGGTCGTCGAGATCACGATGTTTGACACATATATGTCGTCGAAATGTATGTGTGTCCACATTGTACTGGTGAGGAAATACTGTTCCCCCATGCGACATTCGACTCGGACATCTGATTATATTTCAGTATTACCGATTGTATACACTGCACGTCCATGTAGTATTACGACGCCCCTCTGTTGGGTAAATTGTACTGGTGATTATGGACATCAGACACACATGTAAGAGTCCTTACCTTATCCCTGGTGGCCGGCTGTGTTGGAGATATATAGCAACCAAGGAAGGGTGTGACTTTCGCGTTTTTGTTTCCTTGTACATGTAGCGTAATACTACTGGCCGCAGGCTGACATGATTCAGCTTTACTATTGCTGACTACAGCTCGCCGTGATTCAGCTTTACTATTGCTGACCACAGCTCGCCATGATTCAGCTTTACTATTGCTGACTACAGCTCGCCGGGATTCAGCTTTACTATTGCTGACTACAGCTCGCCTTGATTCAGCTTTACTATTGCTGACTACAGCTCGCCGGGATTCAGCTTTACTGTTGCTGACTACAGATCGCCGTGATTCAGCTTCACTATTGCTGACTACAGCTCGCCGTGATTCAGCTGTAATATTGCTGACTACAGGCCGCCGTATTTCAGCTGTAATATTGCTGACTACAGGCCGCCATAACTCAGCTGTAATATTGCTGACTACCGGCCGCCGTGATATAGCTGTAATACTGCTGACTACAGGTCTCCGTGATATAGCTGTAATATTGCTGACAACAGGCCTCCGTGATATAGCTGTAATACTGCTGACAACAGGCCTCCGTGATATAGCTGTAATATTGCTGACAACAGGCCGCCGTGATATAGCTGTTAAAATGGTGACATCAGGCCTCCGTGATGTAGCTGTAATATTGCTGAGTACAGGCCTCCGTGACATAGCTGTAATATTGCTGAAAACAGGCCTCCGTGATATAGCTTGAATATTGCTGACAACAGGCCTCCGTGATATAGCTGTAACATTGCTGACAACAGGCCGCCGTGATATAGCTGTAATATTGCTGACAACAGGCCGCCGTGATATAGCTGTAATATTGCTGACTACAGGCCGCCGTGATATAGCTGTAATATTGCTGACAACAGGCCGCCGTGATATAGTTGTTTGGCATTTTGAAATTTTGTGAAGGAAAGTATTGATGATAAACCAGGAAGTGGAAGGTGTAAACCATAATTTTACACTTGTCAGAGGGGTACACAAAGTACTTGATCTAGACTACCAGTTGTCGGACTTTCATGCTTGTGGAAGCCTCGGTGGCTGAGTGGGTTAGATCGCTGAGTTTCTGTGCTGGCGGTTAGGTGCCTTACTCTGGCAGTGTGGTTTGATAACTCAGCCATTTAACCCTTGTTAACATATGTATCTGTGTTGTCAGCGTTTTGAGTATGCTTTGTTGCGTGGAAGTTAGCGCATGATAAGAATTATTTTTATTATTATCATAACATTCATATTTCAGCGTGATCACCTACACATTTTGGAGAGTTTATCTGTTAGCGCGTCCTGCCCTCGATCAAAGGCTGCCTCCAAACATTACGAACTTGACAAACTCATAGAAACTGTGGAATCAAGGTTAGCGTTGTGTACACATCCTGGCAGCGACCCGCGCGTGATGTTATACCACAGTGGGCAAAACAGATAAATATTTATCAAACAGTGGTATCTTCAATGGGTGAGAAACAGTTATTTTATATGACGAATAATAAGGTACTATTTTCCAACCTCATGCGATATTGACCCATTCCCGTATCGGAAAGCGATGGAAGCTGACATAAAATGTCCCCCGTGCCTCGCGATTTATGCGTGAAGGCAGGTAGCGTTAAAACATGAGATCGTGATCAGAATTGTCTTTCCGAAAACGATCATACATGTGAGATATATGAGAGTTTTTGCTGAACCATGTTTAAATTAATGTTCCCACAACTGTGTATTGTGTCAATGTCCATAAAACTGTATATTGTGTCAATATCTCTACAACTGTATATTCCGTTAATGTCTCTATAGCTGTATATTGCGTTTATGTCCATAAACTGTACATTGCGTTAATGTCCATACAACTTTATATTGTGTTATTGTCCCTGCAACTATATATTGCGTTAATGTCCATACAACTGTATATTGCGTTAATGTCCATACAACTTTATATTGTGTTATTGTCCCTGCAACTGTATATTGCGTTAATGCCCCTACAACTGTATATTGCGTTAATGTCCCTACAATTGTCTATTGCGTTAATGTCCATAAACTGTATATTGCGTTAAAGTCCATAAAACTGTATATTGCGTTAATGTCCATAAAACTGAATATTGCGTTAATGTCTCTACAACTCTATATTGCGTTAATGTCTCTATAGCTGTATATTGCGTTTATGTCCATAAACTGTACATTGCGTTAATGTCCATACAACTTTATATTGTGTTATTGTCCCTGCAACTGTATATTGCGCTAATGTCCATACAACTGTATATTGCGTTAATGTCCCTGCAACTGTATATTGCATTAATGTCTATACAACTGTATATAGCGTTAATGTCCATACATCTGTATATTGCGTTATTGTCCCTACATCTGTATATTGCGTTAATGTCCATACAACTGTCTATTGTGTTATTGTCCCTACATCAGTATATTGCGTTAATGTCCCTGCAATTGTATATTGTGTCAATGTCCATACAACTGTATATTGCGTTAATGTCTCTATAGCTGTATATTGCGTTTATGTCCATAAACTGTATATTGCGTTAATGTCCATACAACTTTATATTGCGTTAATGTCTATACAACTGTATATTGTGTTAATGCCCCTACAACTGTATATTGCGTTAATGTCCCTACAACTGTATATTGCGTTAATGTCCATACAACTGTATATTGCGTTAATGTCCTTACAACTTTATATTGTGTTATTGTCCCTGCAACTGTATACTGCGTTAATGCCCCTACAACTGTATATTGCGTTAATGTCCCTACAACTGTCTATTGTGTTAATGTCCATAAACTGTATATTGCATTAATGTGCCTACAACTGTATATTGCATTAATGTTCATACAGCTGTATATTGCGTTAATGCCCCTACAACTGTATATTGTGTTAATGTCCATACAACTGTATATTGCGTTTATGCCCCTACAGCTGTATATTGCGTTAATGTCCCTACATCTGTATATTGCGTCAATGTCAATACAAATGTATATTGTGTTAATATCCATACAACTGTATATTGCGTCAATGTCTATACAAATTTATATTGTCTTAATGTCCATGCAACTGTATATTGCGTTAATGTCCATAAAAATGTATATTGCGTTAATGTCTCTACATCTGTATATTGTGTTAATGCCCCTACAACTGTATATTGCGTTAATGTCCCTACAACTGTATATTGCGTTAATGTCCATACAACTGTATATTGCGTTAATGTCCTTACAACTTTATATTGTGTTATTGTCCCTGCAACTGTATACTGCGTTAATGCCCCTACAACTGTATATTGCGTTAATGTCCCTACAACTGTCTATTGTGTTAATGTCCATAAACTGTATATTGCATTAATGTGCCTACAACTGTATATTGCATTAATGTTCATACAGCTGTATATTGCGTTAATGCCCCTACAACTGTATATTGTGTTAATGTCCATACAACTGTATATTGCGTTTATGCCCCTACAGCTGTATATTGCGTTAATGTCCCTACATCTGTATATTGCGTCAATGTCAATACAAATGTATATTGTGTTAATATCCATACAACTGTATATTGCGTCAATGTCTATACAACTTTATATTGTGTTAATGTCCATGCAACTGTATATTGCGTTAATGTCCATAAAAATGTATATTGCGTTAATGTCTCTACATCTGTATATTGCGTTAATGTCCCTAAAACTGTATATTGCATTAATGTGCCTACAACTGTATATTGCATTATTGTTCATACAGCTGTATATTGCGTTAATGTCTCTACAACTGTATATTGCGTTAATGTCTCTACAACTGTATATTGCGTTAATGTCCATACAACTGTATATTGCGTTAATGTCCATACAACTGTATATTGCGTTAATGTCCATACAACTGTATATTGCATTAATGTCCATACAACTGTATATTTCGTTAATGTCCATACAACTGTATACTGCGTTAATGTCCCTACAACTGTATATTGCGTTAATGTCCCTACAACTGTATATTGCGTTAATGTCCATACAACTGTATATTGTGTTAATGTCCATACAGCTGTATATTGCGTTAATGTCCATAAAACTGAATATTGCGTTAATGTCCACACAGCTGTACATTGCGTTAATGTCTCTACAACTGTATATTGCGTTATGTCCCTACAACTGTATATTGCGTTAATGTCTATACAACTGTATATTGCGTTAATGTCTGTACAACTGTATATTGCGTTTATCTCCCTACAAATTTATATTGCGTTAATGTCCCTACAACTGTATATTGCGTTATTGTCCCTACAACTGTATATTGCATTAATGTCTATACAACTGTATATAGCGTTAATGTCCATACAACTGTATATTGCGTTAATGTCCCTACAACTGTATATTGCGTTAATGTCCCTACAACTGTATATTGCGTTAATGTCCCTACAACTGTATATTGCGTTATTGTCCCTACAACTGTATATTGCGTTAATATCCATACAACTGTATATTGCGTTATTGTCCCTGCAACTGTATATTGCGTTATTGTCCCTACAACTGTATATTGCGTTATTGTCCATACAACTGTATATTGCGTTAATGTACATACAACTGTATATTGCGTTAATGTCCCTACAACTGTATATTGCGTTAATGTCCATACAACTGTAAACGAAGAGCGTATGCAGTACTTTTAAATCAAATAAATGTTTGATCAAACAAGACAGCGACTTCATTCCATGCTAGCGATCAAAGTAAAGATATAGCACAGTAGTCTGACGTTCTGATTATGCTGGTGGGAAATGATTTTGTAGTTTTTATATGTTTATATATAAATAGTTTGACATTGAGAGGGTGTTAGACATTAATTTTATTTTGATTTTAAATCTGATCAAAATTACAGATTTCTGTGGATAATATAGACAAGAACACATACACGCACGCACGCACGTACTCACACTCACGCACACACACTCACGCACACACTATAAATACTATTGTGCCCATAAGACGAGACTCTATAATGTCAATAATAACTTTACAAATCTATACTTCGATCTTCTATTGCATAATAACTAATGTGCATATATACATATTCAAGTTAAATTATAGGGACCAATAAACGAATCAATCCCAGTTTT